GAAAAGACACCTAAACAATGAAACAATCTTCTGTCAGCACCTGGTGACAGTGGGAAGGAAAAACACTTTTAACAAGAAGAAACCTGCAGCAGATCCTGGATCAGGGAGGGCCAACCATGAGAGATGAGAAGAAAGAGAAAAGGAAGCACAGGACGACTGGCTGACCTTTTCATATGCCGCTCTAACTCCTCTGTGTCACACATTTTAGCCAAAGTGGTTGGTAAGAAAAACCTTATTTGTTAACATGATCACAGAAGTTACATAAGGTTACTTGGATACTTGCTAATGTTAGCTCTGTTTCCACAAATGCACAGATTTGAACTGATTTCAAAGCAGTGAGGCAGAACCAGCGGCATCTTGTTCAGCCCTCTGGCCTCACAGATAGAATACATAAAACAGTCTGTAAGCTAAACACAGCTTATTATGATCTAAGCAGCTTACAGGCTGGAAAAATAAAGTCCCATCGATTTTGTTGTTGCTGCTGACCTCCAGCAGGTTGCCCCAACCCCCAACGTTGCCTGGATAAAGGTTAGTTGCTGGCCAACCCTGTCAGTTTGTCTGTCCAGAGTGATTCAGTCACTGTCACCACAGCTGGTGTCGCATCCTGCCACCTGTGAGGTTTTGTTCACCTCCAGCCTTGCCTCCAGAAGGTCACCGTTACTGCTGATGCCAAACCATTGTCTCCTACCACTTCTTCGCCAGTCTCCAGAAGAGTCCTGTTTCTTCTCCCAACGCCAGCCTCCAGAGTTCCTCTATTTCAGTCACTGGTAAGCTGGTTAGCTTTGGGATTACTTGATCTCACCGTTGGCCTCTGCAGGTGAGCGTCTTGGATTGATTTTTGAGTTTCTAAGTAACAGCCATAAAGCTCAGTCCTTTAGTTAATGCCCTGGGTGCTCCTGCCACACAGATGTACCCGACACTTTCCTGTTTAGCTGATAGGCTCAGTCACTTCTTTGTGGTCACACTGAATAAAACATTAAGTTTATTTTATAAATTTTGTCATGCGATGTTTAACAAAGGAGGATTGTCAGTGTTAAGCTCATTGGCTAATGACTTGTGACTGACAAGTTGAGCAGACTTAATTTTTTTTAAATCTTGAAATGTCAAACCAAGATTTCAGAAAATTGTGGTGGTTACATCTGCTTTTAATGCTGTCTGTGTTTAGCACCATGGTTTCCTGTCAGTTTTTCATGAGGCCAGAGGTGTATCCACAATGCATCTGTGCAAAAACCCTAAAAAACATGCTAGACTCTAAGTTTGACAAGCTCCAGGCTGTGTTGAGAGGATACAGGCATGCTCATGACAAAACCCTTAACTCTGCTGCTGGAAACTGTGGTTTAGATTCGGTTTAAGTGTTGCATCACGGCGCTCTGCACCAAAGAACATTTCTTTGTTCTGTTTTTTTTAAACATCCTTCACAGCCACCTTAAATTCATTTGATGTGGCTACATATCTGGTGGTATGCATGAAGAGAGAACAGTCCCATCCCCTTTGACAGCAAAAGTTCTTATTTCCACAACCTCACTTATCAGAAAACACCAATCAGATTGTGATCTGATTATGATCATGCTGAGTCTGTGTGGTTGTGTTTGCTCAGAGTTTCATTTTAAATGCCGCTCTCACCTTTTGTAATGTTTCCAGTTACACCCTTATTAATTTAGCTTTTGTTTCCCATGTTTTGTCCAAAAAGGATGCAAAAACAAAAAACAAAAGGACATTGCAGATTTTTCCTTTTTTACATTGCTTTAAAAGACAAATGAGCTTATTGAACATGTAGATAGTTACACTGATATAAAAAAATCCCTATAAACATAAAAAATGTCCAAATCAGCATCTACATTTTTCACATCGATACTAGTATATTAATAATTAATAACAGACTGGTTAAGAACGTTTGACTGCAATTCTTTTGGTAAATGCTACTTTCATGCATAATTACTCTATTCCACAGTATTCCAACTTCCTTATGTGTTCTTAAAATTATTATCTGAAAATTATTTACAAATACCCGACTTCATTTTCACATTTCATAAACAAGAAAGTCTTCGAACCAACAGCCAATAAGATCACTGCCTCATTCCCCTTTTCAACGTGCAGATTACTTACTGAAATAAATAAGCATTGTTGTTTGTTTATATTGTTGACTGATTCAATGACTTTAAGCGTTTTATCAGAACAGAAGCTGCAAGAAACTGCAAGAGAGCAAAGAGTCAAACCTAAAGCTTGTATGTGTGGTTTTTCTTACTCATCATCTACTCGTCTAGCATTGGGTTTATCGTTGCCGTGACAGCAAACCCACAAACAGGCTAAAGATTTAAGTTTTTCATTTTGAAAGCCTGGAGAGGCATTTAAACAAAAAACACTCAATAGATGCAGGAGTTAAAAAATGTCACAAGCGCCTCATAACATGGTCTTTCCAGGCAGCACAACCACAGGTATTGTATTTACTGAAACATTAGTATGGTCTGTGATGCCTCACAGTTTGACTGACCGCACAGGCTCATCATAGCGATCCTTTTAAAGGTTGCACTCATGCAGAAACGATATAAGTAAGAAGTCAAGGCCAAGCAGATGAAAACCACAGTCTGAATATAAGGGTCTGACTCAACACCTCAAAGACGATAGGCTGACAAAATGATGCATGCTGTGCACGATCTTATGTTTCTCTATCTTCTAACATGTCTTGGACAAAATGGTAAGATTGCAAAATGTAATTACTTATCTATTGAAAAAATCCTACATTAACTTTTTTCCTCTCACTCTTGCAGGGCATGGAAGTGAAATCATAAATGGCAAAAATGTCCCACAGAACTCCATGCAGTATATGGCTTCTGTGCAGATCAATGGAAAACACGTATGTGGAGGATTTCTTGTCAGTGAAGACTTTGTGCTCACGGCTGCACATTGT